CTCCTCCCCTCTTCCTCCTCCTCCTCCTCCTCCTCCTCCTCCTCCTCCTCCTCCTCCTCCTCCTCCTCCTCCTCCTCCTGTCGATCGGACTCCTCCAAAGCGGATTCGCCCTGCTGTGAGGGAGGCGGGTCCAGGAAGGATTGACGGGCGCCAGACCCCAGGGCCGCCCGCCTGGACCCGGCCTTCGCCCTGAGATACCGTGGACCCAGTCACGATGTCCAGCCAGCCCTGGGCCTTCCAGTGGAGACCCATGCCTAGATACACCCTGCTTGCCTCCAGGGTGCCCTGCGCTTCTTGGGCTCCGATGGTTCTGCGAAGGATGGCGTGACGTTCCCACACCAAAAACCAGTGGACGTCCTGAGGTCTCAGGGCTGGGTTCCTTGTGGGAGGTTTCTTGTGGACTGGCCTCCATCTTTTGGTTTAATCACAATACCGTCCAGGGGCAAGAAAGATGGAAATCCGCGGCCCCTCTGGGAGGCTTTCCTTACCCAGGCACCCGAACAATGAGCACGCCAGCCTGGCCAGCAAGCTGAGGCTGAACAGCGACTGGCCTCCATTGTACTCCCCCTTCGAACCCTGATGGTTCTCCGATCGTAATTCGGGCCTCCGTCGGCCGGTCGGGACGATTCGGGTACCCCAGAAAGCTCCCGAGACGAGGCGCAGCTGGCGGAAAAAGCATCCCGACGCAAGAAAACCTAGAAAAAACAACGAAAACGTCTTCCCCCTCTCCCTCGACGACGAAAACGCCTTCTTGGACGCACCCGACTCCTAGGGGCCTCTATCAGGGTGCGTTCTGGCCTGGATTGCGAGGCGAATCCAGCCGTGGCGACGAGGGCCGTCCGGGAGGCCCAAAACGGCGAGAAAGAAGCAAGAGTAGAGGCATCCCTCTGGCGATCGCGGCGGCGACAGGCCACGGACGCCTCTCGTCCCTCCTGCGACCCACTTGGAGGCCTCCTGGGGGCCTCCTGGGGGCCCGATGGCGGTCTCGCCGGGGCGGCGGGCTCGAAACGTCAGTTCGTGCTCCCCCCCTTGAGCCTATCTTGAGGCCTCGTGGAGGGGTCTTGGGCCGCCTTGGGAGGGCCTCTTGGGCCGACTCGGGGCCCCGACGGCAACGAACCCCCGGACGCCGCTGGGACTTTTTTCCTCGAGACGCGAGGAGGTCTGTGGAGGCACAGGGCGGGGTCAGCGCAGGTGGGGCCGGAGGGTCGCGCCGCCTCGCCGATGCATCGGCGCCGTGGCTCGACGTGAAGCCCAAGATCCTGAACGCCGACGTCGCCACTGCATCGCTGGGGCACTGGTGGTGCATCGTCGATGCGGCACGACCCTCCGGCCCAGTTTGAGGAGGAGTAGGAGGAGGAGGAGGAGGAGGAGGACGACGACGACGACGAGGAGGACGAGGAGGACGAGGAGGCTGAGGAGGAGAGGAGGAGCAGGGGGAGGAGGAGGGGAGGGGAGGGGGAGGGGGAGAAGGGAGAAGGAGGGAGGAGGGAGGAGGAGGAGGAGGAGGAGGAGAGGAGAGGAGGAGGAGGAGGAGGAGGAGGGGGAGGAGGAAGAGGAGGAGGAGGAGGAGGAGGAGGAGGAGGAGGAAAAGGAGGAGGAGGGAGGAGGGGGGAGAGGCTTCGAGCAGGAGATCGACTGCAGAGTCGATTTGCAGCAGGAGCTCGACCACAAGAGACCTGCCGCAAGAAACCCAACCCTGAGGTCCCAGGATCTCCATTGACGTTTTGGATGGGGACCTCACGCTTTCCATCGTAGAACCATCGAAACCCAAGACCCCCCGGGCATCGTGGAGGCAAGCAGGGTGTTTCATGGCATGGGCTTCCACTGCACCCCCAAAAATCACTTTCTCGCCGAATCCACCAACAAATACGCAGACTTTTCCGTACACCTACTGAGCATGCTACGCCTTTAGATTAGACTCGACGGACAATAAAGTTTAGGGTAAATCATTTCTGTAGTCGATCCCCCACTCGAAGGCTCATGAGGGGATGCACCCCGCCGAGGCGGCTCCTAAGGAGGGCTCGGGGCAACGTCGGGGGGGGGGGGGGCGTCGGGGTTCTGGGAGGTTATCAACAAGTTTCGGAGCCTCGGCAAGCCCTGCGCCCCGCGCCCACAGTAGACGAAGCCAGTACCGAGGCAGACCCACGGCAAACCTACCGCGCCCGTGGCGGCGTTTGCCCTGGTGGCCAAGGCGCCCTCCCCAACACTGGAGGCCTCCTAGATAGGGTTCGAGTAGATGGGGTCGGAGAACCGCGCCGCATCGCCGATGCATCACCGATACATCGACGATGCATCGACGATGCACCGGCGACGAGGGCGTGGGGAAACACGGGCTCCGCATCGAGCCGCATCGTCGATGCATCGGCGATGCGGCGCGATCCTCCGACCCCATCTGCTCGGACCACACCTGGAGGCCCACAGATGGTGGCCGAGGCGCCCTCCCCAAGACGCCAAGGCCGCGCCGCGAGGCGGCGGCGAGCCGCGGGCGCCGCCGCCCCGCGGCCCGCCTGCGGCGGCGCGCGCCCCTGCGGCGCGGGCGCCTCGCTGCCGGACCACACGGCGGAGCTCGCCTCGCCGCCGCGCGGCGGGGGCCGCGGCTCGCCCCCCGGCCGCTGCGTCTCCAGGCAGGGGGGACCTCCTCCTCCCCCTCCTCCTCTCCTTCCTCCTCCTCCACCTCGCCTCCTCCCTCCCCTCCCCTCCTCCTGCTCCTCCTCCTCCTCCTCCTCCTCCTCCTCCTCCTCCCCCTCCTCCACTTCCGCCTCCTGCTCCTCCTCCTCCTCCTCCACCTCCTCCTCCTCCCCTCCTCCTCCTCCTCCTTCCTCCTCCTCCTCCTCCTCCTCCTCCTCCTCCTCCTCCTCCTCCTCGTCCCCTCCTCCTCCTCCTCCTCTCCTCCTCCTCCACCTCTGCCTCCTCCTCCTCCTCCTCCTCCTCCTCCTCCTCCTCCTCCTCCTCCTCCTCCTCCTCCTCCTCCTCCTCTTCCTCCTTCCCTCAGAGGGCGGGGGTTCCACGACGAAAGGTTTCCGCGGTGTTCGGGCGGTGCCGTCGGCTCTCGGCGGAAGGTTCCACGACAGAAGGCTCCACGGCGGTGTCGTCGGCTCTCGGCGTTTTCTAGCCTCAGGGCGACCTCCAGCAGCTGCGCCTCGCTGAGCGCTTTCTGGGGGTGCCCAGATCGTCCCGAATGGCCGCTGGAGAACGGAGATGTGACCCGAAATGCTCGCGTCGTGGAAAAAGTCACGCGGAGGTGGCAGCTCGCCCCCCAGCCTTTGCGTCTCTCGATGATCCTCAGAACGTATGTTATTAGCGACAACGTGCGCTTGTCCACAGAATCCCTTCGAGGGCGGGTCGTTTCCAAAAGGTGGTTCTCGCCGTAACGACGCGCACATTCGTCTTGAACGTGTGCAACAGTTTCACGGATTGCGGGCGGGTCGTTTCCAAAATGCGACTCCCGCCTTAGCGCCGCGCAAATTCTAAACTCTGCAAGAGCTTAACATATTGAGAGCGGGCCGTTTTCGAAATAGCGGTCTCGCCTTCGCGCCGCGCACACTCGACGTAAAAACCTGCAAGAGTTCAACAGAGTCCCACGGCTAACGTGCCAGAAACGTCGCCTCTGGAGCGATTGAGGATTGTCCGGGCGCAACAATTACGTTGACTCGCGATGTTGAAATCCGAAGATAGGTATTTTGGCAAGATTCCGGATCGTCCATTCGCAACAGTCAGGTTGATGCGTGACGTCGAAACCCCGTGAATCGTGTTGGCACGCTTTAGGATCTTCAAACGGTTGTCTCCCAACGGCTCACTTCCCTCAGTGGAAGTGAACCCTTGCAGGTGACGATCGAAGAGGGAGCTTGGAGGAAAGGTGTGTTCCAACATCGTTGATGAGTCTTGTATTTGCACTGGTTCTCCTCCTCCTGCTTCTCCGCCTCCCCCTCCTCCTCGTCATCCCTCTCCTCCTCCCCCTCCTCCTCCTCCTCCTCCTCCGTCCACCTATTCCTCCTCTTCCTCGTGTTCCTCCTCATCATCATTACCATCATAATCATCCCCTTCTTCATCATCATCCTCATCATCATCATCATCATCATCATCATCATCATCATCATCAGCATCATCATCATCATCATCATCATCATCGTCATCATCATCATCATCAGCATCATCATCATCATCGTAATCATCATCACCAGCAACATCCTCATCATTATCGGCATGAACAGCAGCATTACCCTCATCATCGTCATCGTCAACATCATCATCACCCTCATCATCATCACCTTATTCCTCCTCCTCCTTCTTTTCCTCCTCCTCATCCTCTTCCGCCTCCTCCTCCTCCTCATCCTCCTCCTCTTCCTCCTCCTCTTCTTCCCCTTCCTCCTCCTCCTCCTCCTCCTCCTCCTCCTCCTCCTCCTCCTCTTCCCCCTCCTTCTCCTCCCAGTCCTCCTCGTCCTCATCCACATCCTCTTCGGCGTCTGACTTTGCACATACTTTGCCTGACCGAGGGGCAATCACTGAATGTCCTGCTCCCCCTCTTCCTCCGCCTCCTCCTCATCCTCTTCCTCCTCCTCTTCCTCGGCATCACCAGAAGCAGCAGCACCAGCCGCAGCATCATATGATCATCCTCGGCATCAGCAGCAGCAGCACCACCACAACCATCATCACCCTCAGCATCATCACCATCATCGCCATCGTCATCGTTACTGCCACTACCACCATCACCAGCATGGTCATGCTCTTCCTCATCTACTCAGCCCTCCCCCAGCTCGCATCACATTACCATGGCAATCACAATCACCATGATCATGCCCCTCATCACCGTCACCAAACACGATAACCATCATCAACACCACCACCACAATCACCACCAACATCACCAACAACGAGTCCACCCATTACCATCACAATCACCGGCAACATGCCCCCAATTACCATACGCATCATCATCAGCAGCAGCATCATGAGCGTCATCGTCACCATTATCTGTGAACGAAAGTCAACGACCAATGGGTCGAACCTACTGCATGGTCCGTAGGTAGAAACGATAAAGAAAAAGATGAGACTCTTTTGCCCACGCGCCCGTCGGAACAAGGGCGCTCAAGATGTCCAGTACCTGAGCCGAGGGGATAACATTATTGATGGATAGAAAAAGGAGATGAGCGGTCTTCACATACACACACACACACACACACACACACACCGTCCCGAATTCCGCCCACTACACGTTGGCCTCGGGCCAGCGGGAGACAGAGGCGGGACTCGGGAACAGAAGTGCGAGGATATCCCAAAACGCCTTTTCAGCCTCCGCGCCCTCCCAAACGGGGCCGATTGAGAAGAAAAGAACATCTCTGCATCAAGTGAACTGCTAAAGTACATCAGACGCAGGTGCTTCCACCGGCACACAAAATCCGGCGCGCAGGTATACGCGAAAGGCGCACATCCCATTCAAACCTCATGTAGATCAAAATGCGCGGGCGCGAAGCAACCCAAAGCATGAATTCGAGCATGCGTGCATGATCGGAGTTGCGATCACAACTGATCACATTATATTAAAGTAGCGAATCAATCAAAGGGCTGGCCAGGCCCGATATTCAATCGCGGGGGCACCCCAGGCCCCAAAAAAACTTGTCAAATATACCCAACATCGTTCGAAGTGGATAATATCAGTGGCCAACGTCGGCCGAAACATGTGTCATAGGAAGTATTCTTAGCATGTGTCAGACCGACAGGTGACCGACATCCCACGAAAATGGCATCGATGATATGATGGGGTTGTCTGCGACTCTGCTCACAAAATCCCACAACGTTTGCAGCGGGCGACCTGCCCGGGTGCGTTGAGGCCCTTGATGCCACCAAAGCAGTATACAGAGTCGTAGCGCCTGCCTTCGTCACAGTAGCACATGTCATTACAGCAAAAGCTCAAACGTCAAACCTTTTCCAGGTCTGTAGTTATATATGCCAAGTCAGTCGTCTCTGAAACATACGTGGACCAATGTATTGACGACCCAATGTAAGATTTCAACGATTGACAAGGCCCACAATAGTACGAGTAGTAAGATGACCAACACATAGATTCACAATCAGTCACATCGGTATAGATCCAGTTGTCCAGGTAGTACGACCAGTAGCTGCATGCGTTGTCGCGGTAGCGCTCGAGGTCGTAGCGCCACCGCGCCAGTGGAAGCGCCCTGCGAGTGCCGCTCCGAGCACTATTGCTGGTCATGCGCTGCGAGCCTCGCGGCCAGCGAGGCGGCGCAATCGGCCTCCGCGCCCCCGCCGCGACCGGCGCGGCAGCTGCTGCGGCCCGGGCGCCCCAGTCTGCGCCGCCAGGGCCAGGGCCGCCGGAAGACGCCGCGCCCGAGGGGGAGGCAGCGCCCATGGCAGGCCCATCGCGGCTCGGCGGTGGAGGCGCAGGTGGCGGGGTAGAGCGGTATTCGGCGACAGGATCAGCTCCCTCGCCGAAGGCTTCATCCCCCCTTAGTGGTCGCAGCAATGCAATGCCTCGCTTTGCGCTGCGCCAAGGTCACGCGGTCCTGACGCGTCTCGCCCCCCTTCGGATTGGGAAATCACGAGCCCCTTGGATATGCGCTCAGCACGAGCCATCGCACCACTGCCAGCATGGCCTTTAGCCACACTCTCCACATGCAGGCGCACGGCCACTTGCATGTCTTCGAGCGCGTAAGGTCGCCGGCCTTTGATGACGCATTCATGTGTCATCTGCTAACAGAAAACAGAACACTCCTGGAAGCGCAGCGAGTCGGCCTGGCACGGATGGTACACGACTATCGACATATCTTCTTCATCGACGCGATCACCAGCCATGCTGCGCACGCGCGCAGATGGGCATCCTGCGCCTTCAAGGTGAGCTCCCGGAGATTGTTCTTCTGAGCTACGTCGTCGGATCTCTGACCTGTGAATGCGACGCTGACGTCTGCGCTCATTAATTGACGCACGACGTATTCAGTCAGATTGTCACGGATCCTATTGGCGACGCCTGCGACGCAATCAACTTCATCCTCGCCCGCCTCGCCGATCTGGAGGGCGTTCGCACGAAACTTGCCGGTGTGCCCATCGAAATTGGCAAGGAGGTCGCGGAGGCATCTCTCTCTCTGGCAACACCGCTTATCCGTCTGAATGTCAGGCGCTCCTGCCTGGGCCAGCGCCTCAATCCGCTCGCGGGCGTTTCCGCCGGCGCTCAACTCGCAACCAAGATCGCGGAGGGCCTGATCGGGGATCGCGCGAGCGCTATCGGCGGCCAGATCGGCGGGAAGAAATTCGCATCCCTTATCGGTCATCTGATCAGGGAGATCGCCCATCATAATGTCTCCCCGAGATTGGCGCGCTGAGGAAGTGCCACGATGCTCGGCCATGATCGGATTAGTCTGCTCCACGGGGGCCGTCTCCTCGGCTGCCCTCTCGTCTTCCTGGAGGAAGGCATCGAGGTCCGCGCGGAGTGCATCAACGGTCTGGCCCTGGGTGGAAGCGGCCGCGGAAGCGGAGCTTCCTGGGCCAGGCTCGGGCCCCGGAGACTAACGAGATCCCTCGGAGTCGATCGCCTCAAATAAGCGCGGGCGATGATTGG